GTTTAACCTGCCTAGTTTTTTTTTGCACGAAGTCATGAGATACACTTACTAGCCGACAACTGTTTGAGGTTACCCCAATATTGGTATAGTATGTTTTAAACTTATCAGAGTCTGTGTTAAAGGTATTTGATGCAGCTGGTAGTTTACTTACTAGTGTTGATGCGACAAATGTATAATAGGAATTAAAATAATTTGCCACTTTAGTTGTTTCGTGGCATACCTCGTTATCGATATTTAGTGCTATGTTAGATCTATATACGAGTTTATGGCTATACACAAACTGTTTGAGCTGTTGCCAGAGCTTTCTAGAGTTATTCTTGTACTCTTTGATTTTTGAGCAATAGTGCCTGACCTTTGCTCCTTTTATAAGCCTCTGTACTCTGTTCCTCACCCGTTGAAATTCATTTAGTGCTGCAGTATCCTGTCTGCCTTAAATTTTTTAAGCAACTAGTCTCTGAATTTCATATTATCTAATATCTCAGTAGTCATCCAGGGTTCGGTTCTCCGTTTAATCCAAACCTCTTTCACTGGTGCAATATTATCAAGGATGACAGTGAATGTTGTTCTGAATTTTTTTCCAGTCCCCATGACTGATTTCCTTCTTCAGAGAATTGCAGGATAAAGATAAATATAATTACAGTAGCCTGTACCCCTCTAACAACACCCATGTTCACTCTTCACTCTTTTTATGTGCACAACAAAAAAAAATTCCTGCTTTTTAAAAAAAAGAAACCACTGATCCCTATCAATCACCTAGCAATGGCCTAGTAGCAACTCTAGCAATCGCCACTGACTACTAGTAGATTTCCTATTTTCTTACTTCACAAACTCCCCTTCACTCCTCACTTCACGGTCCGGCTTCACCTATCACACTTCTAGCTCGTTTCCATCCTGGCAGGATAAAAAAAGTTTTAATCAATGGTGTTATCCGTCCAAAGCTTCCTCAAACCCATTTAGCGGAGCTGCGCCGTGTTGTCTGGTCTTGACCGTAGAGGTGATATTTCAGCCATTTTTAAAAGCACTGAGGGAAAAAAAAATGGCCAGTACAACCTGACAGATTCCTTGGAGTTTTGTCTTTAGATCTGGCGTTTTCTCCTGTTTCCCTCCCAGTGTACACTGGTCAGTTAATATAGAGGTCAGCCACTGAAAAAAAATCTTTGACTGTAACTATTCACTTCCTTCCCGCGATTTGGCACTGAGGGGAAGAACCACCACTACAGCCTGACAGTTTCCTTGGAGTTTGTTTTGTAGATTTGTCGATGTCTCCTGTGTTTCCTCCCATTAACACTGGTGCAGATGATATGATGGTCAGCTACTGTCAGTATAGTTGAGAACGTCGCTTCGCTAGTTATACATCTGGCAGTAGCTGGTTTTTGAGTGCCAGTCAGCCATGTTTAAATGTTCACTTCCTTCCCTCATTTGGCACTGAGGGAAAAAACCGTCACTACAGAGTTTTGGAATTTTGTAGTTAGGTTTTCTCCTGTATTGTCTTCCCATTGAACACTGGTGCAGTTAATATGGAGGTAAGTTACTTCAGTGTGGTGGAAAACGTCGCTTGTCTGGTTGTACGTCTGGCAGCAGGTCTGGTATTAGAATGCCGGTCGTCCTCTTTTGGTCATATTTGGTCCATTTCATTGTCGTCAGTCAGTTTTCTTGTCACTATAAGTTCCTTGTATGTTGTTGCAGCAGTACTTGCAACTAGGCCATCACTGGAGTTTGGATCGGCCCAGGGGATGGCAAAGATACAGGAGCAGCTGTTGTTGCTGCTGCCTGAGGAATGATCCAATTCCCTAGATGTAATAAAATTTACAATATCATTTACACGCTTTACTATATAATTTACACACATTACTAGGGAAGGCAGCTGTAAAAATCTGAACTTGTGTAATGAAACTGAAAAAAAAAAATGATTCACATTAAAAAAATGATATTTTTATTAAGTTCCGAGAGTTGTCACTCTAGGATAACCCAAAACAGCTGACCAGTCCTGAGATCATCTCCCAGGTCGCGGTCTACATCACTTAACTCATATAAAGGTAATCGCGAACGAGCGATGAAAGATGCAAAATAACGACAATTCACCCCAAGTTCCATCTTGGTATTGATTGCAACATGAAAGTCCTAGAGCTATCATTCAACTCCTCCTGTGGTTATTTTGCATCACATAAAGGTGTCTATTACCAAACAAGGTTGGCAGTACGAAATGGTACGACTTTTTTTAAAGTACGGTATAAAGTTACGGTGAAAAATGAGACATATGTGCAACATCTGGTTATCTTTATTGTAGACGTTTCGCCAGCCAGTGGCTTTATCAACACAGATTCTAGGACATAATTTGAAGACAGTAGAACTATATACAAAAGATGAGGTAATCAGTGCCTCAGCTTTGGAGTTGGTGTGAAGAGCACCGTAGTCGAGAATCTTCCCGACTTGCACATGTGTCTCAGCTTTCATCTTGTCGGTATTGTATACCATTCTTATGCATAAAGTTACGGTACGGTATTTCTTACAGATTCGAAAATCGGCGGAAAAAAAAAAAAAGTCTGAGCCACCTCTGTTGAAAACATGGAACATATACAAACTGATATGACAAAAAAAAAAAAAAGACTTTCAATGGGCCTTTACCTATGATATACCTTTCATGAGTTCCGAGAGTTTTTCTACTTCCATAGCCCGGCGTTAGACCAGGCTTGTCTGGTGCTTGCCTGGTCAACCAGGCAATATAAAATAACATGAAATTCAAGGATGACAATTGCAACTGATCATATATGGGAAGAATAGAGAGATACAAAAGAGGTTACCACCACCAGCCTTGCCGAGTGTTAGGTGAACAAGGGCAGTAGGTCTTAACAATACATAAGTAGGTTAGATTTTGCCACCGAAGTGGCTAGTTTATTGTGTAACCCATATCCATCCTGTGGAGGGTAGCGCAAGAGCATATAGACACACAAAATGCCTAGGAACTAGGCCCTAAAAGGGTTCACAAGAGTACATCTGCATTTACATATAGTACATGGGTGAATTGTTAGCACTCTCAGTAAGGCTTTGCAAATAATTAACCTGGCGCTGTAGTTCTCGGTCTCACACTAGGCCTCCCTGACAGACTGATCGGTGAGGCAGTTATTGCTTGCCACACGTAGTCTGACAAACACACCACAGCTCGACTGTTCGGGAACCCGCTTGAGGAACTTACGAAGTTGACCTATGACCTGTTTCGGGACTTTTCCTATTTTCGTAATCCGGCTTCGGGGCCAGGCCTCCCTAATAATTGTCTGCTCAACCAGACTGTTGCTGTTGGCGACTCGCTGGACGATATATCCAAAATACGAAGGATAATACTACAAAGTTACCATGCAAAATTATGGCACCTAGTTGCCAAGGCAACATCACAGAAGCATTTGGTTGCCATGGCAACATCACAGAAACACCTGATTGCCATGGTAATATCATAGAAACACCTGGTTGCATGGTAACATGAAACTCTTGGTTGCCATGGTAACATGAAGCACCTGGTTGCCATGGTTACCTGACCCTGAAGGTTTATAGTAATAAACTAATACTGCTACTACTACTGCTACCACTATTACTATTACTGTTACTACTACTATTACTACTTTAGCAGTTAAGTGACATCCATTAGGAGATAAATCGCCTGATCGTAGTTTTACTGTTCCACGTCACCTAACAACCTGCTTGATCAGCCAAACTTTAACATCACTGTTCAAAGTTCTGCCTTGGACGACGCTCATTTCCTTTCAAACGTTTATATCATTACCATAATTTTCTCATTTCACACCAAGTTCCATTTTTTTATTCTTTTCTTTACCTCCCAATTATCGCTGTTTTTCTTCCTTTATCTCCCAGTTATCATTTGCCTCTACCTAAGTTATCCTTTGCCTCTACATAAGTTATAGTTTCCTTCAACGTTGTGGGTCACCAACAGCCTAACTGAACAGAGATTATCCATACAGGAAAGTATCCCTCCAGTGAGGAAAAATATCCCTCCACAGAGAGAAGCTTGAGCAGTGACCCCTCGTGGAAAGTTATCCCATGTCAATACTCAGGGCCTTGGCGAGGAGACTAGCCCAAAGAGACATGATTACGACATACACAATATTCAGAGGAGGTGAGATTACAGAGAGGGACATGACTGTAACCCGAGGATCAGGCATAAGCAACGTAAGTGAAAGCTAGAAAAACGCGAGTGCTCAAAATGATGAAGTCAAAGAATACTTTCCCCGCTCTCAGGGGAGTAGGAAAGTGAACCGGCATAAAGGAGTGGTTATATAAATATATGGTTGTGGGAATCATCGTTCCAGCGTCCCGATCTCAACTCAGGCCTCCTGGGAAGACATATATTAACAAAACCAATTAAGAAATAAACAGGTAAGTTAAGATAAATGTATGCTGATTGTAGGAGGTGTTTGAGTATATCGTTGTCACACTGCGTGTTCTTGAGGCAGAACAAGGAGATCGGTAAGCTGGCCAGAATACTAACTTTTTAACAGGCTTCCGTCTGATATTCATACTAAAAGAGGGTGGTAGTACCTTCCTTGATGATCATCACCTGTTAATGTAACATGTGTAAACCATCTATTCCTTTCACAATTAGTTTTGAAAGAAGGCACGAGGGGAAAGAGGGGCTCATAGACTGGATCAGTACTACTGTTCAGAGAAGCTTAAGAGTAGGGAGGCTAGGAGCCTAGATTCGACCCATGTAATGGAAAAATATTGGTGAATACTCTCTCTCTCTCACACACACACACTCATGGTTCAGGGAGAGTGACCCAGTAGCGACCGGTGAAGAGGCGGGCCAGAAGCTATGAATCGACCCCTGCAACCACAATTAGGTGAGTACAACTAGGTGAGTACACACACAGGTGGCCAGTTCAATGAACCTTTCTGTTATACTTGTATCACCATTCTTACAACTTTGCAACTTGTTAAATAATGTGTGAGAGAGAGAGAGAAATTCAGACAGGCAGACACACTGTACTCACCCCTTTCCTGGTCTCATTATTATTGAGAGTGTTGGAGTGTGTGGTGGGAGGCGCGGCCTCGAACCTGTAGGGAGAAACAAACGTCATTAATTTAACAAACACCAATGTGATCTCACACAATCACATCTTATACACCAAAGCTTACAGTTTCAGTGGGACTCGAAATATATTCAAGGGAGATAACTTTTAACTTCACAATAGAAAAATTAAGAGTATTAACTCACCACTACTGAACAGAAAAGAAATGCAAATGAAGGGAGAGAATCATGTCAGATGATCTTACACAGAGCAAGGCTTAAAATATGCCACTATACTATGTCAGCCTAATAATAATTCACGCAACTGGGTGTATTTCTATACACTAAGGAGGTTAGCAATGGCCACAATGTGACCACAATTGAAAGTTTTGACCCACGAAATTCACACCAGAATGGCTATGGCAAGAAATATTTCAGGTCTCCTCAAAACCGTCATTAAGAACTCGAGAATTTATAGCAACATTACTGAAACACACACAAAGTATTTAAGGAAGTTATAAAACCCTACTTTTAGGTTGTCTCTAGGCTGGAGTACTGCTGTACTCCAACAGTTCCGTCCAAGGCAGCTGAAATTTCAGACCTGAAGAATACGCATTTGATGTCTCTCGATCTGTTCTCCATGGAACGCAGGCGAGAGAGGAACATTATACTCTACGCCAGGAAAATCCTAGGACTGGTCCCAAATGTGCACATACAAATAGTTCCCCATGAAAGTAAGAGACTTGACAGATGGTGCAGAACACTCCCAATGAAAAGCAGGGGTACAATGAGTACACTAAGGAAAAACTCAATAAGCATGAAGGGACCAAGACTTTACTGCCCTCCTCTCACATATACGGAGGGGATTACCAACAGACCCCTGGCTGTCTTCAAGAAGGAACTGAACAAGTTTCTCAAGTCAGTGCCTGATCATCCGAGTTGTGATACTTATGTAGGACTTCGTGCAGATAGCACCAACAGCCTAGTTGATGAGTACCCGGAGTCGTCTACCCCAGAACACTCTTGGGCAGCCTCCCTTGTGTTACCTTATAATTCCGGTGTTGTCGTCTTCTACACTGCATTGGCCTGGGCGAGCGCTGGGTAGGTTCTGACCAAAGATTTCTCCCCAGTCGTTTGCTTTACCTGTTAAGTCGTTAAAATCGCAAAATATTGAATAAATATTCCACACCACACCAACGTGTTGTTATACATTGTTAATTGATATATGTATCAATATTTGTATCATAACAATACATAATAACACACACTACACAACACAGCAGGATCCATACTAGTGTTAGATTTACGGATAATATAAATAGTCAGGAAGTACCTATACGATCAAAGGCGGGCCAATGACCCTCTATCAACTAGGGAGTACATATATATATATATATAAATATAATATTATAATATATATATATATTAATATATTTATAATATATAATATATTATAATTGTTGTTTTAGCAGTATTAAAATAATTATAACTACGTTAGCGATTTGTGCCAATGACCATTTAAGTAAGTGATACTGACCAGAGGCATCAAAACATCTAGTTTTCCCTCCAAACTGAGTTATTCGTTAATTGTTATAGCCAGGGTATTGTGAATTGTTGTAGCCAGGGTATTGTAAATTGTTGTAGCCAGGGGATTGTTGTAGCCACGGTATTGTGACCTGTTGTAGCCACGGTATTGTGACTGTTGTAGCCAGGGTATTGTGAATTGTTGTAGCCAGGGTATTGTGAATTGTTGTAGCCAGGGTATTGTGAATTGCTGTAGCCAGGGTATTGTGAATTGTTGTAGCCAGGGGATTGTGAATTGTTATAGCCAGGGTATTGTGAACTGTTGTAGCCAGGGTATTGTGAATTGTTGTAGCCAGGGTATTGTGAATTGTTATAGCCAGGGTCTTGTGAATTGTTGTAGCCAGGGTATTGTGAATTGTTGTAGCCAGGGTATTGTGAAATTTTTGTAGCCAGGGTCTTGTGAAAATTTTTATAGCCAGGTATTGTAAATTGTTGTAGCCAGGGTATTGTGAATTGTTGTAGCCAGGGTATTGTGAATTGTTGTAGCCAGGGGATTGTGAATTGTTGTAGCCAGGGGATTGTGAATTGTTATAGCCAGGGTATTGTGAACTGTTGTGGCCAGGGTATTGTGAATTGTTGTAGCCAGGGTATTGTGAAAATTGGGTTTTAGCCAGGGTATTGTGAATTGTTGTAGCCCCGGGGATTGTGAATTGTTGTAGCCAGTGTATGTGAATTGTTTTAGCCAGGTATTGTGAATTGTTGTAGCCAGGGTATTGTGAATTGTTGTAGCCAGGGTATTGGAATTGTTTTTAGCCAGGGTATTGTGAATTGTTGTAGGGCCCGGGGATTTTGAATTGTTATAGCCAGGTATTGTGAATTGTTGTAGCCAGGGTATTGTGAATTGTTGTAGCCAGGGTATTGTGAATTGTTGTAGCCAGGGTCTTGTGAATTGTTATAGCCAGGGTATTGTAAATTGTTGTAGCCAGGGTATTGTGAATTGTTGTAGCCAGGGTATTGTGAATTGTTGTAGCCAGGGGATTGTGAATTGTTGTAGCCAGGGTATTGTGAATTGTTATAGCCAGGGTATTGTGAATTGTTGTAGCCAGGGTATTGTGAATTGTTGTAGCCAGGGGATTGTTGTAGCCACGGTATTGTAACTGTTGTAACCACGGTATTGTAACAGTTGTAACCACGGTACTGTGACTGTTGTAACCACGGTACTGAGACATGTATACAAGACTTGTATAACAATGATATACAGAAGGCTGAATGGAAGTAACACAGACAAATAATGTCACACTCAGACGGTACACTAATTCTGTTGTCTTAATTAGAGAGAATCCTGTTATTTCCGCTATGTAGAAAGGTCACTAACTACGACCTCTAAGACAAGCTTAAAGCTACCAATAAACACCTCTAGAACTAGCTTAAAGCTACCAATAAACACCTCTAGAACTAGCTTAAAGCTACCAATAAACACCTCTAGAACTAGCTTAAAGCTACCAATAAATACCTCTAGAACTAGCTTAAAGCTACCAATAAACACCTCTAGAACAAACTAAAGCTACCAAAAATACCTCTAGAACGAGCTTAAAGCACCAATAAATACCTCTAGAACTAGCTTAAAGCTACCAATAAATACCTCAGAACGAGCTTAAAGCTACCAATAAAAAACCTCTAGAACTACTTTAAAACTACCAATAAACACCTCTAGAACTAAACTTAAAGCTACCAATAAACACCTCTAGAAAATAGCTTAAAGCTACCAAAAACACCTCTAGAACGAGCTTAAAGCTACCAATAAATACCTCTAGAACGAGCTTAAAGCTACCAATAAATACCTCTAGAACGAGCTTAAAGCTACCAATAAATACCTCTAGAACGAGCTTAAACCTACCAATAAACACTTGTTGATTCTCTACATTTCCCAAGCAGTGACCTGAGCTTGTCTTAGGCCTATTTAAATCCCCTTGGCTGTACCTCCAAGGCTATAACTCTACCTAAAGCGGTTATTAACACTAGTGCCATAAATCTTACCAGGTAGGAGCATAAAGTAATTACTTGGAAGGTCGCAACCAGGGTTAACACGCGTCTCATCCTCAAGTATTTAAGGCCTCAGATATCACAACAATGGTGCCCCGTGGCCTGGTGGCTGAAGCTCTCGCTTCACACGGCGAGGGTCTGGGTTCGATTCCCAGCGAGGGTACAAACATTGGGCGTGTTTCTTTACACCGGTTGTCCGTTCCCCATCAGTAAAATGGGAATCTGGGAGTTAGTCGCCTGGTGTGGGTCTCATCCTGGGACAAAACTGACCTAATTTGCCCGAAATGTTCAGCATAACAAGCGGCTTTCTATATAGTAGTATGTCATTGATGTCAGCTAGGACTGTATACCTTATACATGTACTTGCAGAAATAAAGATATTAAAATTTATTATTATTTTCCAAACACAAGACATCAAATACCATTTCTCACGCACCATAAGGCATCAGATACCATTTCCCAAGTCCCATAAAGTCTCAAATAGTATTTCCCAAGTACCTCAAGACCTCAGATACCATTTCTCAAGTACCACAGGGCCTCAGATATGAGGAAACCATTGTGAGCACAGTACCAAATGCGGGAGAACCAGGTCACAGAACCAGGTATGGCTCCGTTCCCAAGTCAAGTTCTTGATTTAACCTCTCTGTGGCCTGCCCATACATTCAGTGACATTACAAACCCTCACTACCACCATTCATGACCTTCCACTACCATAAACTACAATCCACCACCATCACCAACCATCCGCCACGATCTACCACCATCACAGATAGCGTGTCTGCCAAGCTAAGGTAATGGAAGACGGTAATAGTTTCTGGTGGGCCAAAATATTGGATTCAGTTTGCCGGAGACTCCGTTAGGATTCTACCAGCCGTAATCAGTGGTTAGTTAATGACCTCGTTCATGGTTGGTCATTGTCGGGGAAGGCTTAATCTGAACCTTATCAAATAACACTGTTACATCAACTGTAATGACGTTGTTACATCACGTATAATGACGTTACATCATTTGTAATGACGTTACAGCATCTCTAATGACGATGTTACAATAAACTGCAATAAATATGACTGTTATATAAATTGTATATATATATATATATATATATATATATATATATATATATATATATATATATATATATATGACATATATATATATATATATGTCGTGCCGAATAGGCAGAATTTTCGATCTTGGCTTAAATAGCAACGCTCATCTTGCCATATAGGACAAGTGAAAATTTGTGTATGCAATAATTTCGCCAAAATCATTCTGAACCTAACGAAAAAAATATATTTCACTGTGTTTGTTTAGTATTAAATTATTGTAAACAAATCTAAAATATATTTAGTTGGGTTAGGCTAAAATAAATTGTTCTTGTTATAATAAGGTTAGGTAAGTTTTCTAAGATTCTTTTGGTGCAAAATTAAATTTTTTTGCATTAACATTAATGAAAAAATATATCTTTAAACGTATAAGA